GCAACAAATGCAAGAAAGAGTTAAAGAAAGAAGTTTAAGATTCAACGACGGAATATTTGTCACCAAGGCAAGGAATGATTGATAACCGTCTCCTTATGAACACATAAATCAGGTTTTTGATGTCTGATAGTAACGGCTTCAGCAAAACTTCAGAAGACTGTAATTTGATTGTTTATTAACTGCCATGAAAGACTGCAATTTATCGACCTGATATTCTATATTCAAGAGATGTTTGTTGATTGCACTGTTTAGAGTCTTTCTTTCTTCTGTTTTGGGGCTTTTTGGGATATGCTCAAAAAATTAAAATATGCTCTACTTTCTCTTTGGTCAATGTAGCTTCTTTGGCAGGTACATGTAAATTTATAAATGCAGTTGGTGGTAACATGTGTTTACTGGTCACCTTGATAACTCATATAACTTAGATTTTAATGAAAATTCTACAACTTACTTACTTACGCCTGTTACTCCTCGTGGAGGAGCATAGGCCGCCTATCAGCAGACGCCATCTAACCCTATCCTGGGCAATCTTTTCCCGCTCTTTGCAGTTGTTATTTATCCTTTTCATATTTGCTTCTATTTACCGATGCCAACTGGCTCAGTGGTCTAGAGTTCAGGCGTTCGTGCACAAAACTGAAGGTCCTAGTTTCGAATCTCGCGAGGCGATATCGTGGATACTCACTGACGAGATACGAGGACGAAACGGTCATCCAATGCTTTCAAAATTCAACAAGCTACATCAAAATTATTACTGAATTAATCTTATGACATATTACGAGATAACCACGTTACAATTACTACATACAATACATGACAGTAAAACATATTATTAATAGTCAGTGATTTGTGTTCATGTACACTACGACTATAAACCATCCAGCTCAAAGAACAAAACTCCATCAAAATCATTCACCTGAGCTACTTATCTTTTCCACACTACTAACTAATAATAAGTAGTACTTTTTGAATTGCAGTAATTCTCGTTCAATTTACTGAAAATAACCGGTTTCCTGTACAGAGAACGAATTATTAAATTGTTTATTTATTTCGAGTCATTTAAAATTCAGATTGCTTATTCAGGGAGTAGTATAAACTTTGATAAAAAAATAACTGAGAATGAATTAATTTTATAATGAATAAGGCATATTAGAGCATCTTGTCCTACATGGTTCACGGAAAACAGTAACAATACACGAGCATTCAGAAAAATAGTTTTAAAAATGGAAGGAATCCAATGGCGGATCAAATGTGAAGCTCCATGATAGTAACAAAACACAATTCTAAAATTAGAAAAACGTATATGGTAGTCGGCGAGATCCTCATGTGAAAGTTCGTTTTTCAGTTAAGTGACTTATAATTATGATGATGTATTGTCCATTGAACTAGATGGCTTGCCATGGAGCTTTGATTGTTCTTCTGAACAGCATCATCAGTTCGAATTTCAGGAAGAAGTGAAGGATTTGAATTTCTCCACATATAAATCGCAGCTTATCCTGCAGATCTCGATCTCGATTGATTATTATTGACCTTTAACTTGTCACTGTCCACTTCCTTGTTTTGATTGCATATCCCATTGATTTGATTCTTGGTCATATATTTCCAGTGCAGAAGCCAACTAACGGATCATCCTACCATAAGTAAAGGAAATATCAGAAATTGCAACGAGATTGTCGAAGCTTTTTAGGAATAGGTGTATCACACAAACCAACAAAACCACTACAATCAACCCTATGCAAACCAAAGGATAAAATGACAAAAAATGCCAAACATTATATACAAAATAAATTGTTTCAACTGTGAAAACACTACACCTTCTTCATCTTTGCCAACACGAACACCAGTTAGCGGTAAAACGCCATGACATATCCTCTCTTATATCAAGGCATGTGGACATCTGTGGACGCATATCCGACTGGAAAAACGTTGACATCCTGCATAGAGGGAATTCGAAAAACATCAAAGAATTTTTAGAAACTTGGCATTCAAGTCAATCAGCAAACGACAAGCACATTGAAATCGATCCAATTTATCAACCAATCAGAAGAATTATGGACAAATATATGACCAAGAATCAAATCAATGGGATATGTAATCGAAACAAGGAAATGGACAGTGACAAGTTAAAGGTCAACAATAATCAATCGAGATCGAGATCTGCAGGATAAGCTGCGATTTATATGTGGAGAAATTCAAATCCTTCACTTCTTCCTGAAATTCGAACTGATGATGCTGTTCAGAAGAACAATCAAAGCTCCATGGCAAACCATCTAATTCAGAGAACAAACCATCATTAAAAACTAGGACATTTTATGTAAGGGAATAGACATTTAAGGAGTGAATTTACGAAACATGAGAAATATATAATTCATAGAGTGAATATTGTAATTATGAATGTCGTTAAGTAGATATGGAGCTTTGTGATGCTCAATTAAGTGATGCAATTATAAATGATCTTTGTAATAAGAACAATTCTAATGACTGTAATTTAATGTAAATTAGAAATATTTCATAAACGTAAGAATGAGAACTGTAAAAGTGAGAGTACAGATATGTAAAGAAAATTCGACTAGAGACCGGGATAATGGTAAAGAAATAGATGTTACAGATCTTTTCTTGCACGTAAACTCATGCATAGCATTATTCATAACCAGTGCTTCTGTAATGTAAGGTAGGTCAAGTCGTAAACATCTTGGCATATCTAACTGCATTTTGTAAATGATGTCAAGTCATGAGTCCGAGGTTGACCAACCTGTTTCCACCATAGATTGAAGAATCGATAATGTAATTTACATATTTTGACTATATATAATTCACAGGGGTAGATGGTCTCGAATGTGAAGAAAAAGTGGCTTCGATGAATAACGTAATTTGGTGCATTAAAGGTCTATCACAATATAACTTTTTAGTGCATCACGAACAATATCTCCCCCAAAAATTGAATTCTTTTGAATGATGAATGTTTTTTTTTCTCCTTCACATTTTTCTCTATAAATATCAAAGACTATCCACTTTCTAAAAATGGACAGTCCTGTGAACAAATTTTACGATATAGTGAGTGTAATGAATAAATGGGATTTCGTCTTCTAGTTATTAGGAACCAAATGTGAAAATTTATTAGTTGTCTATTCTATTTGTTCTTTATAACTGGTCCATCATTTCTTTCAATAGGTATGATAACAAAGATATGGAGTTTTGAATTACATTCTTATTCCATCGTATGTTTAAACGATGGATGTCAATTATTATGAAAGTTGAGGATATCTTGAATAGTATACGCCTCACTACATATAATGATAGCGACATTCTTTGAAATGACTCTGTAAATCGTTAAAGAGATCTCAAAGGTGATAAGATCTTTATGAGAAGTTTCTTTCTAGTTCATTTATAAATAAGTGTATTGTACCTATACAGTTTAGATTATGATATTCAATAGATTTGAGGTTTGGAGTCGAATCATTGCAATGAAGATTTTTCTAAAAGATTTCTGGATACTCATGCAAACTCGACCATCATATCAAAGTAGCAGCAAAGGTCAGGACTTGAATAGTTGGGCTCAAAGTTAATAACATGAAACACCTTATTTTCTACTATTTTTTTCGTATTACGGAGACTAAACATATTGGCAGATAAACCTTTGATCTTTTCTCAATACTTTTACAAAGAAAAATTACAAAACTATTCTTTAGAAAGCTGAACAACACAACATGTTGAACTCTTGTTATTCGTATACATAAGTGATCATTACAAGATCATGTTCTCACTCCACTGGTCACTGCTTCTCACTAGAACTCCAGGAAACACCTCTTGAAGCCGGTCATTAGTTAGCATATGTTGATTAATATCAGGAGGAGTTTTGTGGACATTATTAATGAGAAGCAGTGACCAACGGAGTTCAACCAGGTCTGTTGTGAGATAGAAACTCACTGAAGACAATAGTGAATCTTTCTCCTAATTTCGTAAAGTGTTTGAAGTTAGACATCAGTAACACCGTTGGATATCATTTTAGTGGTCTAGAGGTTAAGCGATCGCACATGAGACTGATAAGTTCTGTGTCCGAATCTCACCGAGGAGTCCCATAATAAAACGAAAAGGCGGTCCAGTGCTTCCAGGTTTTCCATGATGGTCTAGCTTCAGTTGACTCATGATCTCAACGATTAAAATTACTATAATATTTATGAAACCCCATCCGATATTAATCAATTAAAGAGTAGAATAAACCAATTACAATTACCTATTAATTATAGTAATGTTGATGTCCTTATTAATTTAGTAACACACGTGACTAAACATAGAAATTGACTTTGACTTTTTTCATTCTATCACATATTAAAAGCGTCGGTTTTGTAGTAAAGTAATAAAATAAACAATTAAAACTACTACTATAGTGACTAGCAATGTACCGTTCATCTTTACCTATAATACTTGTGAATTAAAGCTTATATATATGAAAGCAATACATACAGTCAATAAGAGATAGATCAATTGCAGTCCTAAGCATTCATGGGAAGAATCAAGTAAACAGTAATACTAAGTGAATTCAAACTAAAACTACCATTCATTTTAATTTTTTGTTTTTTTTTATATTGTGAATACATTTTGACAAGTAATAAGCATTTGTTATACAAGTATTCCTTACTACATTGTCATTTTTAACCTAAAACACAAAGAGAGAGAGAGAGAGAGAGAAAGAAATGGAAATTTCTTAGACGTATTACTGTATAACCTTAATATTGATGTGTCTTCCCTACAAATGAATCGATATTGTACTACACATGATTGTTGAATGGTAAGTAAAGATACATTAACTATATATAGTAAATACTATGTAAAAGGGGTTGAAATATCATTTTTTTTTCTTCATTCAAATTCAGTTGTTATTTTATTGAATCTGTAAAGAAACAGAAGAAGAAGAAGAAGAAGAAGAAGAAGAAGAAGAATGTGCTCTTTCTGAAATGTCATTTGGAATAATGAAGAATATGAATTACTATCTAATAACTAGTTTTATATTATTGAATAATGGTTTATCATTTAAAACAAATACTATTGATAATGTCAACAATATTCATCTACAATCATCAATAGAAAATACCATGATTAATAATAATAATAATAATAATTCTAATCTTGTTCATACTGATTTACATAATGATAAAACAATAACATGTTTATCGGATAATCCAATTGTCCATACATCTGTTGGGATCTATTGTGGATTACGTGAAATAGTTCATTGGCCTAATGGACCAGCATCAATGGTTGATGTTTATTATGGTAATTTTATCAATTAAATTGTATAATCTTTTGTTTAATTAGGTTTAATAAAATGTTATTAAGATAATAATTGTTATCATTTGTGACCTGTATGCCTTGTTAATGTGTAATGTAATGATACCGTTAATCACAGAACAGTAATTTGTTGATCGGACCAATAACGCATAAGACATGTACGAACAGCCTAGAGTTCTTATCGGTCCTACTTCCCGCTTAACCCAGCCTGTTAAGACCACAACACCAATCTCTGCGATACAAATCTTGTATTTCAAACATACTGGGTTTATATACCAACCAGACAGACCACATCGTACCATAAAATAGGGAACAACATTTGTACACGATTTAGCCAAATCTGGCTGTGGATCAGGGACATAGTAGTTGATAAACAGGTCATAACTCAAGAATGGTAAATCGTATAGCAATAGTTCATAGATCAAGATAAAGCTCATAATAAGAGGGATATGAATATGAATAGTTTAGTTATTTAATAACTATACGATAAAAATATACTCATTGTATCGGTCTATAATGGATCCCAAAAGTTACCTTTCATTATTCTCACCGGGATACAACAATAGTATACACTTTTTCATAATAATCACAATGTATGTAACTTAAATTTAGCAACCCTTTGTTAGATGAAATTTGTATTACATCATTAACATTATAGTCCTCTCTCTATCTAATTGTTATTATCAAATGATTTTAAATGAAAGCAATTTATGACAATAAATCTGATACGATAATATCAATAAAATTTGACATATTATTCAACTCATAATGACTTAGTAACTAAGTGGATAATGCGATGACATTTGAAGCGAACGGTACTGGGTTGGAATCCCAGAATGAACATCGACTCTGAGATACAGGTATATCCAGCTGACGAATCCCCAATAAGACGAAATGCGCGTCAAACTGGACTCCACTGTTAGCTATTATCCATCTTTACTTATAATTCATTAATTCTGATCTCACCAACTTACACTTTAATTAAGTGATATAATCAGAATAATTAGTGTCTATGATAAATTAAAAAAAGTGTAGTATGAGATAAAGTTTATGAGAGTTATGTAATAGATTTGTCAAATACATTTTGAACTAAAATATCGAAGTATTAAAAACAAACAAAAATTAAGCAACGTGTTGAAATCACTAAATGACAGGAACAGGTAACCTAGATATTCAAACAGGATGCCACATATTCAAGATAAATCTCGTCATTTATTGACAATAAATGGAAATCCTATAAAGATCAATAGTTTATAGCTAACTTTTTCGTTGAAATTAAATGTTCCTAAGAAATTGAAACTTTTACAATACCGTATAGAATTGAATCCAAAAACTATCTTTTGTAATTAGTGCGATGATCAGATAAACGGTACCGTGAAACTTGGTTATTATCAGAAAGGGTTTTTTGTGTGGATATTATAGTAATTTCAATAGTTGAGATCATGAGTTAATTGAAGCTAGACTACCATGGCAAACCTGGAAGCACTGGACAGCCGTTTATATCTATTGTCGTTAAGCTCTCGCGTGCGAGACTGATAGGCCCTAAGTTCGAATCTCGCGAGGCGGGGTCATGGGTGCACACTAATGAGGAGTCTCACAATAGGAAGAAAAGGCCACCTAGGGCTTCTAGGTTTCCTATGGTGATCTAGCTTCAATTAACTCATGATCTCAATTATTGAAACTTGGTTATATTGAATTCAATTTGAACAATATAGACCCCTTGACATATTATGACATATAACTTTGATATAATTCCAGATTTCATAATTATATTATTAATGTATTTACAAGTACAGTTGTAAACATCTGTCAAACATTTACTTTATATTATGAAGAGTAAATTTTAAGGTAATTTACAGACAACTAATTACTTTGTCAACACTTTTCATTGTTCTAAATCTGATAATTGTAACTGAACAAAAACCTCCGCCCCCCCCCCACGTTTATTGTTAAACAATAAATAAATTCTATGATATTTATTAATATTTAACCAGTGTCCCAATTTGAAAAAAATTTGGTTTCTAGGTATGGTGTATCATCAATGATCTAAATAATAAACAGACATTGCAAATAAGGAATATCATACTTGATGAACAAGTTAGTAACTATTTGGGTTCAGTAGCTTAGCATACAACATGTGATATTTACTAGATTCAAGTCTTATTATGAACATAAATACTGGAAACAAGTGCATCCAGCTTCTAAGTTTTAAATGAAAAGATATAGATATCTCCCGAATCCCACTGGTGGCTTAAACATAAAAAAAGTCTGTTACTTTTTGTAACTACAAGCAATATCAAGGCATAAGCTCACAGAATATTGAGTCACGTAGTACACATGAAGAGAAATAAGCACTTCATTCTATTATCAGAGTAGGAGTCCCATACTAGGACGTAAATGGATATCCAGTGCTTCCATGTTTTCCATGGTGGTCTCGCTTTAATTGACTCATGAACTCAACTACTAAATTCCTTTATTTTATATTTAAAATAATGATAAGTTAAAAGATGTGTTTAGGTATCGCAAAACACAAATAAACTCTAAAGAAATTTTGTATCATATCAAAATGAAGCAAACTACATTTTCAGCAGTTCGTGTTTAATGATTTTACAGTTTATATGGTTTTTTGATAAAATCAGATTAAGATTTTTGTAGTAAGGATAGAGGACCTACAGCCTATGGTATTCCTTTTTTATTATGCTTTTGTGAATGTCTAGTCTACGCTTGAATGCGTCAATTGAAGCTGCGGATACCACTGTTTCGATTAACAGGTTTCAAGAATTGATGACTCAATGTGAAAATATGTATGCCACCGGTATTTTGTTAATTATTGGCTTTTCTAATCGCCTGCCATATCCTTTGAGTTGTCCCGATCTTGTGGGAGGAAAAGAGAGGATATATTAGGTGCAAAATCATTTCTCAGTATTCCATACGTCAAAATCACATCTCCCCTTAGTCTATGATAGGACAGATTAAAGAGGTTTTGCTTTTCAAGCCGCTTCTTGTATATTATACATCGGTATTCTGGAATTGGACGGGTAGCTGTTCTCTGTACATTTTCCAGGATATATGAGTGACCTTTTAAACAGGGGCTTGCAGCCTGAACACAGTTCTCAAGCCTAGTTCTCACTAAGGTTATGTATACTGTAGTGAATATGGCAGTATCTAACTTGTTCGTTTTAAAGCCCAGAGGGTTATAAATGCCTAGCTGCGACCAGCAACGGGCCGTCGTCCTAAGATCATGACTCACTGTCACCACAAGATCCTTGTGAAACAGGACCATAGGTACAGGTACTTCCCCTATGCTGTACCTATTAACCTTTGTATCCCCAAAATTCATGTAGACAAAGTTTGTTGCGTTGATAGGCATCAGCCGTTCTTTAGACCAGTAAAATCACTCTTTAACTTTGAAAAAAACTGACATGCACCATGTAATTGAACAATAAATAAATAAATAAATAACTTTTTCCATATTATTTTAATTCTTTTACAAAGGTATACGTTATGCTCAATCACCTACTGGTTCATTACGTTTTAAAAAACCTGTAGAACCTATTCCTGAACCAAAGAAAATTTTTATGGCTGATAAATTACCTTCTACTTGTCCACAACCAAAAGATACAATGTTTCAAGTAAGTTAATTCACAATATTGTAATTCTTCTCTTTAAAATATTAACAATCTAATCACAATCTATACACTTTATACATTGTATTTTGAAGGCGGGGGGGAGGAATGGGAATTTTATCAACTTAAAAAATAAATAAATATTTTAATTTACATAGTTGAGATCATGAGTCAACTAAAGCTAGACCACTATGGAAAACCAGGAAGCACTGGACAGCCGTCCCATCTTATTGTGGAACTTCTCTACAGTGCGCGTGCACAATCCCGCCTCGCGAGATTCAAACTCAGGAACTATCAGTCGAGCGTACGAATGCTTAACTTCTAGACCGCTGAGCCCGCCGGTATCCAACGCTGTTACTGTCTAACTTCAACTAATCCATTGTAGTCTAGCTTCGATTAACTCATGATTTCAACTATTAAAATTACAAAACCCCTTCTGATTTTAATTTGCATTAAGTTTAGTTAAGAACTTTCATTTTCACAGTCAAGTTAATCTAATGAATATCCATAGTAGTTGGGCAGTAAATGAAAGAAGACCAAAACTCTGAGTATACAAATGAGATTACCATGTTTTTTTTTCAAGATTTTGTAAGTGTTTAACCTTCCCCCACCCCAGAAAAAACACATTGAAAATAGTGATATGTACTAAATGGGTATCATTTTATTTTCATGAAAGAATTATATTGTTCTGTATTATGTAATCAACAATATTTATTTGCCTGGGATCTGACTCCAATTCGATAGTATGAATGTTTGCTGTCGAAATGTATATCCTGACTATTTTTGTACATAATTATCGACTTAGATCGTGTTAGTAAATAATAGAATTATATAAACCAAATACGCGAATGAATATTTCATGCACCCATTGATTTGAACAGGCAATCAGGGAATAAAGAAAAGAGAAGTGAGCGAAGCGAAATGACGCGTAGTGGAAAAGGCGTGTGAACCAACTCAACATTTATAGTCAGACAAAATTAAGCTACAGCCATGTGATAAGTAGAATAAGAAGTATACACACATATACACCCATATAAAAGCAGTCAATGTTGATAAGTGAATAATTAACAAGATCAAAACGTGACTCAGGTATAATGGATAAAACTGGCCTGTCCAGAAGCTAGAATAAAGTATATGGGCTTAACATACCAACCGACACTACAGGTATATGTAAAGTATTAGGAATACACGATATTCTACTTTATTCAGTGTCAAATGCTGAATGTTACATCAAATATCTTATATAATATATATAATCAAGGAAATTGATTGTTTGGGTCAGATTCATTGATTATTAAGTCATGATCATGATCAGTGTTGTTTATTTAGCTCTTAATCTCTATAGGATTCTACCAGTCAAGTTGCTATATGGTCATTAGATCATTTGACTAGACATCTTGCACACGATATTGAGATATCAGGTGATTAGAGATGGTCGATCGAATGCATTAGGTCTTCATTCAGCCTAAGATTTCAGGTTTGTTCTCAAACTAGTATCATTTAGCAAGAAACCTAAACCTATGGTTTGTCGCTGACTATCTTTGACAAATTAACAACAGATTTAAATCTCATATGGCTAGATGAAAATAATGACTTTAATAATACTATTGCTAGTATATCCATAAACAAAATATCATTGTCCAGTGAATAAGTACTATATATTAAAACCATTATTAGAACTGAAATTTGGCTAAATTCAGATGGCCATTATCAATGTATGACTTGGTATCTTTATGCATTGGTGATAGTTTTTCTGGTTAACGTTTTTTAAGCGACTTAGTTTTCTACGAGATGGGGTAGCTAACCCCATGCCCAACCCTCTTCCTTTAACCGTGTTTAGAACCGGCAGTAACCCCAGAGGGGCTCCAGGCGGAGTTATCGGTAAGTTACCACACCATACATCAGTATTGAGAAATAGAAAATCACTTAAGTGAGAAGTAAAGGATTACAATTAGTTTTATATTCAATAGTAAATTAAATATGAAGTATTCAATTCGCAAGAAATAAATGAATTTAAAGAACGAAATGGTAAGAATGATTTAGAAGATATAGAATGAATACAATCGTGTCACCTAGATTTGCTTCCCTCAGAACCATCCACTGTCATGAGTCATTGATTACGACTATTGAATATGCTCAAACCAGATAGTCTTCATATATCTATATGTCTCAGATCAGAAGTTAGTGGGTTCATGGCTTGATGTTAGATCTTGAACAACCTCCTCCTGGGTTCTTAAACGTGGTCTTATCATAACCAATCATAATAACAATAAACCTTCAAAAAACATCTCATTCAAGTTAAATGGCACAACCTATTTAAAAGTGGTTCTAAGGAACTAATAATAGCCAATGAAAAGATATCTCTCATCGAGTAATTTGCTGACTAATCTTCTAACCATATACGTAAAAATAGAACTTCTGAGAAATAGAAGTCTTTAATTCCAACATGTCTGATAGACATAAAAATGGGCATATCTCCAAGGTAACATGTCAGCTAATTTTAGAAACTAGGTAGAAAATTGGAAAGTAAGCTAGTATAATTGTATCAATTCTTGATTTTAGAATTCAGCGGCAGCTAGAATGTGGGTACCAAATACACCAATGTCAGAAGATTGTCTTTTCTTAAATATTTGGGTACCTTTAAAAGAATCGAATAGTAGCCATTCGAATTCAAAAGAAAAACTTGCAGTTATGGTGAGTTATGTACAATACCTTATGTATAGTGTTATCAAATATTCACTTAGCCAATTGTTTCATTCACCTTAAACTTACTTTACAATGAGGCACCAGATAGATATGCGCCACATAAATCATTCGATTTATGTGACGGTAGGGATACTGCTCGTGTGCCCAAACCGAAGCAAGTTGTTTTCTTAGGATGACACACCCGGAGCCTTTGACCTAAAGCTCTAGTCCGCAGAGTAGTGGAGAAACGCAAGGAGATGCAGTCCCATGGTAGCCGGTGACTAACAATAGGTTCATACTCCATTTGTTCCTTCAGGATCCTGAAGCCAATGTTCATCATTGATTGGGAATCAGGGTTTTCCAATTCCCCAGGTGAACTCTCCTTGTCCACCAACCCAGGCTCCAGATATTCGGTTTTCGTCCTGTCGCTTTCGTAAACAACACTCCCGCCGCGAGAACACAATAATAATAATAATAATAATAATAATAATAATAATAATGTAATAACTACATTTATTTCTAATTTGCTTACGGCATCACCCACTTTCTGTTTATACATACATCTTCAAATGACCTTACATATTCTTATCCACAAATACACAAAACATCATTTATCAACATCCAATTATTTAGTATTATTTTGTATATCGATATTGGTCTACCAAGGTGCTTGGTACCTGTGCCACACGATTGAATTGTACTATCTAGTTTGTAGCGTTCAGGCTTATATGGTGACTGGTTCGCCCGTGAAGCTGTACTGTTTGAGCTGTCACGTGAAAGTCTGGATGGTGACCGGTTCTTCTAAAAACCAGTGTAAAATTGTTATGTAACTGTGAACTATGTATCGATATGAATATAATTGTAAGCTTCTCAACAGAACCCACGAACCATACTGATTTTGTATAACTCTGTATCAATCATTGTATTTGCCTTTTCTTCGGAAGAAAAGTACTTTTAGTTGTTAAATACTACATAAGGTTTTCATATTTTTCCTTATATGTGCTAAACAAATCACTCATGTGACCGTCATTATAATAGTTCATGTAAAATGGTTAATCAGTCAATGGTATAATGTGGCAGAACGATACATAATCTCCAATCCCTTCCTTAATTATCACAAATGCAAGCAATACTCATACAATTAATTCAAATAATTTCTGATAACTAAACATTCGAATACAGAGATATAATTCTGATTGATCATATTTTGAATCATGATTTGTACTAATGTGATGTGTGTTACTGATTTCGACAGCTATAAGTAGTATGTATCATCAATCAAAATTGAAATGACTGGAGGCAGAAGGTTATGAAGAATAAATAAACGAGAATGAGAAAAAAGGATGATTGGTGTGGTTCTCACATTTTACTAAGACCTTCTGTAATTCCATGTTGAAATATGTTCGATTGTAATGAGTAGTATAAGAAGCCAAAACTATGCATCAGCAGATTCATAAATATTTGTTTTACCATAATGTATTTTAAAAAACCTTCAGTAAGCGGGTGTTATGTTTTGTAATTAATTTCTGGAAACTTTTTCCTCTGAAACAGTTATGGATATACGGTGGTAGCTTTTATATGGGAACAGCAACATTGAGCGTATATGATGCGAGATTTTTAGCTGCTAGACAAAATATTATTGTTGCATCAATGAATTATCGTTTGGGTTCATTTGGTTTCCTTTATATGAATACAGAAGAAGTAAGTTTATTTATTTATTTATTTAAACACGTAAACATTGGTACAAAAGGGCACCAAATAGACATGCGCCACACAGTCAATTGAATTGTATGTGGGCTGTGATACTACCCGGCTGCCCAAACCGAAACAGGTGGTTTTCCTAGGGGGACACACCCGGAATCTTCGACCCAAAGGTCTAATCCACAAGGCAGTGGTGAAACGTCAGGAGATGCAGTCCCATGGTAGCTGGTGACCAACAAATAGGTTCATACGCTATTTATTCCCTTAGGATCCTGAAGACATTAACATTCGTGTCTTTGTTCTATCAGATTTAAAAAAGGATATAGTTTAATAGAAAGAAAGTCATACACTTTTAGTAATCGAAGACATATCATAATAAAGTTACTTATTTGATATTCATTTTGACCCTAAATAAACCCCTAATAACTCATAGAAGAAACCATAAATTGCAGCTGTAATTCTTTTTTAATGAGAATGTCAAAACTTACAAACATACTTCGGTTTTAATCATCATCTTAGCTATTTTATCTTCAACCTACAGTAGATAGCCAATTAGATAAATTTTTTGGCCTACGTTTAATAATCAGCTATTAGAGTACAAACGAATAATGAAAAATGTTACATTTTGATGTGGCTGAATGGGAACAATTTCAGAAGATCAGTTTTAAAATCCTGATATCATTACAATACTAGACAGTTGGTTATTTTATCCACTAGAGATATCGCTTAGTAATTATCATCAAGATAAAGAAAAGAAAAGATCCTATTAACAATCATGATTAAAGATGTAACATAAAAAATTCAGAACACATTTCTAGCAATATGAACGGCTTTAACTCACTAAGGGTTAAGTTAATAAAGAAATTCAGTTTATTGATAGCAAAATTTATAGAATTTATGCAGATCGAATCTTATCGATCAAGTTGCAATGTGGCTACTTGTCCAGGTGACTCGACATTGCGTGCACTATGTTGAGATAAGATAATGGTTGGATGTAGTCAACAGGAAACTCTGAATCTAGGTTTCGTGTTCACAGTGATCACCAACCAGTGATCAATCAATTGTAAATATATCTCACTCGGACAAAATCTCAGTTACGGTCCGGATAGCTCGGTGGTAACATTTTTGTTTGTGAAACTGCGTAACACGGGATCGAGTCCGTCACGGAGCACCAGTTCCCTCAAGATTACAGGTGCACCTTGCTACCGAGGTCTAGGGTTTCTTGTTGACTACCTCCAACCACCATCTTATTTCCAGTATTTATTAAGATTCTTTAAAAGATATTCAGTTCCAGATAATTCGTATTTCACAATGAAAACTAATTATTTTACTCTGGAGTTGTGTACTATTGTTTAAGAATACTTGATACTTTCATTGCAATTCAGTAGGAAATATTTTATTCTTTCTTAACATATAACATGCAATCATAATACATGACTAATATAGAAAGAAAGAAGTTGTCAACTTTCAAATGATCAAGAATGATATCATTCAACGGAATGATTGGAGTTTAATCAACAAAAGTTATAGAAATATTCCTGAATCAAAAGTGACCTAGTGGTTAAGAGCTTGCTCACGAGACTGATAGGTCCTGGGTTTGAATCTCGCGAGGCGGGATAGTGGCTACTGAGGAGTCCAACCATAGGACGAAACGGCCGTCCAGTGCTTTCAAGTTTCCCATGGTGGTCTAGCTTCAATTGTCTCATGATCTCAACCATTGAAAAGTTTATCTGTTTGAATTTAAATTTGGCATTTTAAATCAAATTTACTCGAAAATATACTACTTATTAGATATTGTTATTCATGAATTTTTAAACTTTTTTTTCTCATTTTAGGCACCAGGTAATATGGGTCTTTGGGATCAACGTTTAGCTATGAAATGGATTAAAGATCATATTGAAAATTTCGGTGGTGATCCACATCGTATCACTCTTTTTGGTGAATCAGCTGGAGCTGTAAGCGTGAGTACACATGTCGTCAGTCCATGGTCTCATTCATATTATAACAATGCAATAATGCAATCTGGTTCAATTTTTAGCAACTGGGGTCTTGCAACTAGTGAAGTATCACTAAATCAAACACAAAGGTATATTTCATGCATATAATTTCCTTTATTACATTAATGAGAGCAATAACGAAGATTGGTGCAGAGTAATGACTGGATTCATCTCATTTCGTTAGGTTCTCATCAGCTGCTTACAACCTATAATATTTAAAATCAACGTTAGTACATATATTGACATGTTTATACATAAAAAGGTGGTTAAAGATGAATATGCGTTACATGATGTAACAAAGATTCCGATAGAGTTAACAAAGTCAGAAAAAAAATTTTGTTTCGAATAAATAAAGTTTGGGAGGGAAAGTTCCAGAATATTGAAATAGTAATTAGAAATCATGGAGTTAACAAACATTAAATGATTATTTAATGAGGCAACTGAAAATAGATTATGGGGTGGTCGGTATTCAATATAATCAATAAACTTCGTATACAGTTCGCCTTGATAACCGTTACTAGATAACGCCTCAACAGTATATTAATCAAAAGGCGAATACGAAATATTGATTACGTTTATTATGGGACTACACACAGATATCCAAAATTACAGATGCATTAAAGAAGCATAGAAGAATTGTGCCGAAAGGAAAGCAGGCAAGCGAGTAAGTCAGCGAATATGAGTACGAGTAAGCGAGAGAGAGCAATGAACATGAATATCATGGATATATATAAATACAAAGTGAAATGAATGAATCATCGAATCAATTATGCGGTTAGTAGGAAGCTTAACAGCGTGAATACATGCGTAGGCAGGCAGTAAGCAATGTTCAAGCATACATGTTCATACATTTGCAACAATAATTAAGATACAATGATATAGGTAAGTTGTTGTTGTTGTTGTTGTACGGATGACTCAGTTCGTTAATCAGTTAACAAAATGATTTAACCGAATTAAATGTGAACAAACTCAATTGAACGTCAAGTTGCTATAAGATTGATGGTAATAAAGAATGATATGAATTGAGATTAGTCAATTATGAATTAAAGAGAAATGACAATGATGTAATTTAAACTTTAGAAAGAGTTGAAATAATGAATGACGTAATCAATAAAGAAAGGGGGAGGGTAATGTTACCAGTGTAAAGAAAGATTTATTATTGTTTATTTTTAGATACATAGATCTGGTTTCAGACATTTGACTGTGATCACTTCGGCGAATTTCAAGAAATTTGAGTTTGATTGTTTATTAATCATCTTGAAAGACTTTAGTGTATCGACTTCATGTCCTATGTCAAGGAGATGTCTTACAACGAAACTCCTGGATGCTTTTAATCTATTTTATCTTAAACTTTTCGGAATATCTTCTTCGAATTGGACTTAGGCTCTCCTTTCTATTCTATCCATGTAATTGCTTTAGCAGATACATGTAAATGTATACACACAGTTTTTTTTTCTCTAAATACTATTATAGGCTTGCAAAAATTCTTGGCTGTGGATATCGATCATCAATGGATCAAATTAAATGTTTACGATCAAAATCAATTACAGAAATATTAGATGCACATGATACAATGTATGATCCAGCTAGTTATTTCTCTGTACCATTTCCACCTGTATTAGATAATAATTTTTTTCCATATGAGAATAGTCAATCATTTCGTCAATTAAAATATCTTAAACCATCCGGTGCTTTAATGTTTGGTATTAATAAAAATGAAGGTAGTTATTTCTTATTATATGCATTTGTATCTAATTCAAAATGGATGAAAAATTTAACTGATTTACCAATTACAAATCGTATGGATTATTTAAGATGTCTTCGACAAGTTCTAGATCTTGATGATGATGATCGACCAGAATTTACAGAACCATTAATACGTTATACAGATTTTGAATATCAAACATATCAACAATTGGTAAGTTATATTATCAATATGTAAATTGATTATATTTTCATGAAGCTTTCTTATCTGAGCTGGATAATTTGGTCGAGGAGCTTTCATCGTTCTTCTGAACGATGTCATCATGTTATCGTTTCCATTTGAGCTACAAATCGTTTACATCATCTCGTAAAATATTTTAATCAATTAAAGATAACTAGTTGAAAATTTTTTTTAATGTAATGTCAGTTCAACTAGATTTCAATTTCATTTCATTACTTATTTACGCCTGTTACTTCCGTGTGGAGACAAAGCCCGTCCACCAGGATTCTTCATCAAACATTGCCCTGGAAAATCCTTTCCAGTTGTTTCTAGTTGCTACTCATCCCTTTGATGTCTACTTCCAATTCTCGACACAGTGCTATTTGGTCTTCCTCATTTCAGTGAACCTTCAGAATTTCAAACTAGGGCTTGCTTCATGATAGAGTTTAATGGTTACCCCAATGTACGTCGTATCCACTTCCAACAACTTTTCCTAATTCCCTCTTCAGCTGGAAAATGGTTTGTTCTTTCCCACAGCGAGCTGTTGCTGATGGTATCCGACCAACAGACATTGAGTATTTTGCGTAGAGGATCGTTTATAAATACATATGCCTTTTTGATGAATGTAGTAGTAGTTTAAAACAATTAGTCCCTTTGATAAATTTCGATAATGCAATGAGAAGACGTAGTTTATCAGAATTATGTGATATATTTGCGCAATACATTTCGAACAATCTGATCACACATATACTTGTTAAGAACATTTATATATGAAAAATTAAAAGGTCAACTAGACAGGTTAAGGGTAAGTCATAACAAAGGAAAAAATATTAAAGTACACAAAAACAAATGTGATTACCACTCTGGATAGTAAATCAGTACTACCAGGGTAGGTTAAGTGTAAGTACAAATTGTTTTTGAACACATAAAGGGGGTTTCAATTTTCGTATAGCCAAGGCTTCAATAAACCTTAGTATACGTCCTTGAAGGCTTTTGTACAACACAACAAATGCTGATTTGATATCAACCTTATGACCCGTCTCAATCAAATGTTTCGCAATGGATGATGATGTCTGTCTATCCTGTGGTCTTATTTCACCATTGGAATTCATCTGATTTTGCAACCATTTTGGTATATGTTCACCCACCCTTAATTGCAAATCACGATTGCTCCTCCCTACGTACGTGTTCCCACACATACATGTAAATTTATAGACACAATGGGATGTGACACAATCGTTTTCATGCTGTTTGGGCATTTGGTGAAACATAGACCTTGTCTTTTCGATAATGACAAGTTGGGCTGCATAAAATGTCCGCTTGATAGCTAATTTAAGTCTCTGTTTCAACATGAGACTATTTGTGTCACCTCTGAATGGTAGCGTAATATAAACTCGCTTTTTGGGTGCCAGAAGCATCATAGGTCTAGTCATATTGCAACCCTTCCAGCGGTTTATGAACTTCAAAGGGTAACCATTATTGAGTAACACATCAGTCAAGAGCTTCATCTCTACTTCAATAGTATCACTAGTACAAATACGATTGATTCTATTGAATAAGCTCTTTATTAAACCACGTTTATAATGAATAGGGCAGTGACTATGAAAATTAAGATATTGTCCTGTCCATGTTGGTTTTCTATATGTAGCACGTTTGATGGAACCATCATCTCTCCTAGTAATCAGGATGTCAAGAAAAGGAAGTTGGTTGTTCTTCTCTTCTTCACATGTAAGAGAAATGTGGTTTTGACTACTATTGAATTCTTCGAACAAGTGGCTTATGTCTTCAATTTTGTCACCTATGATTATTATGTCGTCTACATATCGTTTATACAGACTCATCTTTCGAATTGAGTCTCCAACTAAATTTTCCACATATCCCATGAACACATCAGCTAGCAATGGTCCTAGAGGACTACCCATAGCTACACCATCTATTTGTCTGAAGTGTTCACCTTCAAATGTGAATTTTACATTATCTGTACATAATAATAATAAATCTTTAAGAGTTTTAACAGGAAAAGGTAGTGGAAGGTTTTCCGAAGAAATAAAGTCACACAAAATATCAATGGTTTTCCTAAGAGGTACATTTGTAAATAAAGTGTTTACATCAAAGGAGCACATTGTCTTTGTCTTTATATTTATATCCTTTAAGTAATTGATTAATTCGAATGAGTCAGTCAAAGAATACTTACAATATTGATTTCTGATAGGGTTTAATAATTTTGTAAGCCATTTTGCCAGGTTGTGTGTAGGTGACCGACACATAGATAGAATTGGACGTAGGGGGGTATTAGGCTTATGAAGTTTCAGCTTGCTACAGTAGAACTATCTCGACGTTCGTGTTGAACATCGTAATTTTGATATGGGTTGACAGCTGTTGTAAGTTCCATATATTGTTCAACTGCAGGAATGTCGTTCTTACTTCGCCAATCCTTGCCTTTAAATCTGAATCACAACCTCCTTGTTCATAGATGATGCTGACCATGTCATGTACCGAAAGTTTCCAGCTATTTCAGAGTTTCTCCATCAAGTGTAATTGTGTAGCTGTTGCATTTGAAGAGGTTGGTTTTAGCCCGTTGTATGTTGAGGCTTACTGATGTAGAGGCTTTTGCTGCTACACTGGTTGTCTTGACCCACATTTGTTTGTGTGTATGGGATAAAAGAACTATGTTATCTGTGAAGTCTAAATCGGCTAGTTGCATCCAAGCTGTCCATTGTATTGCTTGCTTCTCCTGAGATGTGTAGTCTTAATAATTTATGGGATCCCCATCCTAAAATCGCTTTCCGTTCTTCTTTAAATAGCTTCCATGCAACTACTTATGGTTACAAAGCGTGTTCTTCTTCAATATCAGAGTACAACAGCACCTAGCCCGAACTTAATCTTTTCTGTCTAGATTGTATTCAATGGATTTCACTGATTTCAAGCACCGTCAAATTGTATCTCTTCATTTCCATAACAATTTGATTGGCCCTTCCGGTCTCCCACATTGTCTGTTCACCTCATGTACCTATATTAATCGTTGCTGTGGTTGTTAGAAGGTTCATTGGCCTTGTGAATTCTGAAGGATTTAGGTTTTCACAATTAGGAGTCCTAACTCTTCTGCATGAAGATACTTATACACAGAAGACATAGTTTAAATGTTTCGAATGATTTTTTTTCTGATCAGCATTTGTTGACAAGGTTTCCTAAGTAATGTGTTTGTTGATCCCATGCCCGACCCTCCCAATTTGTTTATGTATGGGATGGGCAGTATCCTTTTGATGGCTCTGGTCAACCTCATAGTCAAAATAATTTTGTGTTCTTGAAATTCTAAATTTAAAAAATCACCTAAGTTTATCCGAATTTCATTGTTATTTTGAGAAACCACAGTTGTTTCTATATCGCTTTGTTAAATATTCAAGCTCTTCGTTTCAACTGATGGAATAGCTCTGTGGTGTTATATTTATATCATTTTAAAATTATTACCACTGTTTCACCATTCCGATGATGGATACCAGTTTTCTATATCCTAACTAATAATCACAATTCGAAATGAAAAAATACAATGTCTTTATTAGATAGCGTGATTCCGTTCTAGGAGTCAAGGCGAATAAATGGAAAATATCAGATTCCTTAATCGGATCAGTCAGACAAGTCGTAAAACCTGTTAAGTATGCACATCAGTTCAATTTGCCATACCCCATCAGCACAGAAAGATGAAATAGTCAGGACAAATCCCAGAATTGTTGAGGTAGTAACAGTGGAAAGACTAGGTCTAAAAGTTACGATTCGATAAGAAAATATAAATTAGTAAAATTAAAACACGAAAAAAGGACATTTTGAGGGATTCATTGGCTCCGAATTCGAGAAAGGACAAAGATTGGATGCATCTGAGTCATTATAAACGATTATGAACACGATTATGTCTATGAATCTTTGGTAGGCCATACGTATGCAATAAATGAGATCTACGAGGTCTTAAATCATTATAGTTAGAGTAATTAATAATTTTCTTCTCCAATAGCTCCCTGCGTATACTCGTGGTTCGTTTATCTGTTTAGTCAGTTAAGTCTTCGTTATATCTATTAGCCTTGACCCACAATTGTTGCATAAAGTGGACTTTATTCTAGTAATATAATTGAATGTGTGCATTAGTACAACATCTGAGCCCTTGACTGGTCGTTATATCATTCACACACTGACCAGAACTTACCCTGTAGCCAAGCTGATTATCTTGTATAAAACAATATGTTCTGTACTCCAAACAAAGATTGATAGGTGCCCCTTCCATGTTACCGTTAATTGTGTTTACAAACTTACATGTACCTGCCAAACCAGTTACATTGATAGAACAGTAGGAAGGGCCCACGTTTGATTTCAAGAACATATCCCAAAAAGGTCTCAGGTCAATGGAATTCAGGGCTCTTAAACAGTGCTATCGCAAAACATCTCTGTACACGGGATATCTGGTTGACAGACTGAAATCTTTCAGCATCACCAATCGACATTCGAATTCCGTTCTTCTTAAATTCTCCGAAGCCATAGCCGTCAAACGACTTACGGTGAACTTATGTGTCCAAAAAGAAACAGTTACAAATCTATCCTTACCATAAAGACTTCCTCGTCAGTTTATTACATTGGTTTTGTAATTCTCTTCTGTTCACACTTTCTATATTTTACTTCAATCTCATCACTTTCTTTGAAGTCATAACCTTATTTACTTTTAAACTAACTGATCTCAACTCATGTTATTCTTAATTTTAATAGTTGAGTCATTTGAAGTTAAATCACCATGGAAAACCTGGGAGCATTGGACGGCCATTTCGTTATGTTGTGGGACTCCTCAGCAATGCGCATCCACGATCCCACCTCGCCAGATTTGAACCTAGGACCTATCGGTCTCGCGTGCGAAGGCTTAAATGCTAGACCACTGAGCCGGCATTCAACGTTGTTTCTGTCCAACTTCAACCAATCCACGAAACTGAAATTCAATTGACTCATGAACTCAACTATTAAATTACTATAATATGAACACAAGACGTTTCTGAGAATAATAAGTAGGTGGTATTTCATTCGCTTGATTTATAAGACCAAGTTAACAGTCTATTGTGCTCACTGTTTATAACTCAGCGTTAGATTAAAGTTATGTAGCTTATGGAGTTGAAGCAGTCTACTTCTAACCTTGAACTGGAACGTTTGAATTTCTTTAATCTTTATTTGTTTTGGACACTAGCATAGTTTCATCAACTCTCATTTGAATGGATTGGATCAAAGTCCATTACATAATTATGTATCTGGGATGTAATTTTTGTTGAGAATTCAAACGACATTTATAGCAATTTCACTCATGTTGTTCTTCATTGGTTGAAGTTAGACATTAGCATCATTTGATGCCAGATTAGTGGACTAGAGGTTAAGCTTTCGCGTACGAGACCGATAGGTCCTGGGTTCAAATCTGGAGGATCGAGATCGTGGATGAGCACTGCTGAGGAGTCCCGCACTAGAACGAAACGGCCATCCAATGCTCCCTGGTTTTTCATGGTGGACTAGCTTCAATTGACTCGTGAATTCAACTATAAAGTTACTAAAATTTCTACAAAAACATCCGTCTGATGATGATAAATATATTTATTGTGAGGCAGTAAAATCATGAGACTTGTTTAAATTGAGATCTGTTTAATTTTATTTCATAATTTATCTTCCTCATAGCCTACACTTGAAAGTTGGACTGAAAGACTAGAAGAAATCAGTAGTGATAGAAGTTTCAAATGTCCTACGATCAATATGGCAACTGCAGTAACTAATGATTATCGTATACCAGGTCGACGTCGTGCTCATACGCTTCCTGTATATTTTTATGAATTTCAACATAGAACACTTTCATTACCAATGCCTAAATGGACTGGTACAATGCATGGTTATGAAATTGAATATGTTTTTGGTATTCCATTTAGTCCTCAGTTTCAAGCTAGCTTTTATCGATTCACTGATGAAGAACGTCAACTCAGTGATATTATGATGACGTATTGGGCTAACTTTGCACGCACAGGGTAAGTTGATTCGAAGAACTATGTTTGCTTGTTGAAAAAGTTCAGGACTAAATTTCATTTAACAAAACTTTACTTTGATTAAGATATACATTATGTGGTGGTTGGAGGTAGTCAACAAGAAACCCTGGACTTAGGTTTTTTGTTATTTAGAACCCGTTTCAGCAAGGCATACATGTAATCTTGAGGGAACTGATGCTTCTTGATGGATTCGATCCCGTGTCACTCGGCTTCACAACATAGAGCATGCGATGTCGCGCCACCTAGCCTAGTGGCTACGTTGCAGTTTGATCAATAGAATTCGACCTACACTAAGAAGGACATAACACACAAAACGTTAGTCACTACCCAGGGATCAATCAATTGTAAAGATGTGCACTCTTGATACATGAAGTTTTTTAATTTTAGCCCTCCAGTAATGTTTATGGTCCACTTATTTCCTGACTATATTACCATTTCTATTTCCTAAATATATTCTGAGGATCATTTTCGCTTAAAAAACTGTCAACTTGTGCATGTTTCCACATTGAATGACTAGTTTGAATACAAATATCTAAGCAGAGTATTTGCTTAAACTGTTGTAAAATCAGTAGTAAACAACTATATTGTTTCGCCGTACACTGTCATTATTGCAATACTCACATCGGTTGGTTGACTAATATTTTAGCTAAAATCTGGAAACTGGACGTAATCCCATCTGATTGGTCGTAATCATTCATTGTCCTAATATATATAGGAGAGGGTCAAAATCATCCTGCGACAACCATAGAGGGATTAGTTTGACTAAAATAGCATCTAAAATACTGGCCTCAATGATGATCGGACACCTAACAAAAACTCGTGAACTGCAAACATGAGAAAATCAGACTGGCTTCAGACCTGGTCGTGGCTGCATCGACCGCATATTCACCATTTGTCAGATCTTAGAACACAGGCATGCTTATCAGCGCCCGACAATGATAGTTTTTCTTGACTTAAAAGCAGCATTTGGCTCTGTAGACCGATAGGTGTTTTAGTAGTGTCTATCATTCAAAAGGTTTGAATTTTTTTCTGGTTAACGTTTTTTAGTGAGTTATTTTTCTACAGGGTGGGGTCGCCAACCCCATGCCCAACCCTCCTTTATCCGGGCTTGGGATCGGCAGTAGCCCCCGGGGGGACTCCAGGCGGAGTTTTAGGCAGCATTATTAATGAACATGGTGGATCTGATGCGGATGTGAAAGCGCGGATCGGTAAAGCAAGAGTAGTATATTTACAACTGAGGAACATCTGGAACTCAAAACAACTGTCTGTCAACCAACACCAAGGTCAGGATTTTCAATACAAATGTCAGGAGAGTTCTACTGTATGGGGCGGAAACCTGGACAACTACGAAAGCCATCGTCCAGAAGATACAAGTGCTCATTAACAGCTGTCTACGCAAAATACTTCGGATCCGTTGGCCGGACACTAATAGCAACAACCAATTGTAGGAGAGAACAAACCATATCCCAGCGGAGGAAGAAATTAGGAAGAAGCGCTGGAAATGGATAGGACACACATTGAGGAAAGCACCCAACTGTGTCACAAGACAAGCTCTCATATGGAATTTTCAAGGCCAAAGGAAAAGAGGAAGACCAAAGAACACATTACGCCGGGAAATGGAGATAGACATGAGAAAAATGAACAAGAATTGGATGGAACTAGAAAAGAAGGCCCAGGACAGAGTGTGTTATAGAATGCTGGTCGGCGGCCTATGCTCCATTAGAAGTAACAGGCGTAAGTAAGTAAGTAACCATTCAAAGGTGTACATAAACCTTATAAAGGCTCTTTACTCGAACACTAACAGTCGAGTCAGAGTCTATAGCAAAAGGTCATCTGATTTCGCAACCTTAAGTGGTGTTCGGCTACGCTGTCCACTACCTCCAATTTTGTCTAACTTCATCATAGGCCTGCTGCTGAAAATAGTGCTCTTGGTGACAGAATTTTCGGGCAGTCCGATCAGCAGCAATAGTTTGGTGTGTGGTGAAATCTCTTCACGGATTCAGAAAGCTCACTTGGCTCTTACCAACTTACGTCACCTCTGGTAAAGGTGAGATATCCATCTATCAATTAAGGGATGATTATACTGCGCGGCAGTTTGTTCTGTTCTTCTTTCCGGATACGACACCTGGCCATTAAGAGTAGAAGATACTCGCAAGCCACTAGTATTTGACCACATATGCCTTAGAAATATTGCTCGCATCTGCTGGCATCACTAAGCAAGTAATAGTGAGGTTAGATTCAGACTTGAGGTTGTAAATCTTCATCGACTGAGATGGTTGAGCCACGTGTTACGTATGCCTGAACACCGATTACCACGACGTGCAATGCTAACGGGTGTTAGAGATGGTTGGAAGAGAATTAGGGGCGGCCAAACCAAAACGTGGCATCAGTGCTTGAAGACACTAATCTCTAGTCTAAGCCATGTTGGTAGATGCAGACTACTTGGTTGGGGTCCGCGTGACTATCGTAACCAATGGTTGGAGACCCTGTGAGACATGGTTCAGAATCGATCACAATAGCGTCGGTGTATACACTCTTTGTGTTCCCTTAAACCATCAGATTAAAATGACATACCTTTATGCTTACGAACTAGTTCTTTCTCCATGTATCATATCGTTATGCACAATCTTCCTTTTATATCTTACTACCACTGAAGTAATTACTTCTATGAATTTGGTGTTCACCTTGCTGTGCTAATGTGGTATGGCAACTTTGATCAATTCATTTATGTTCCTTGTCCCACGTGGTATCTGATGCTCGTTTTCGTAAATCTACATCCTCATTTTATGTAATTTAATAATTAACCCATATTAGTTTTTATTTTATTTCGAAAGCAATAGTTTTGTTGCAGTTTCATAAGCGGACCTCATATTGTCGGCTTTCAATAATTGGTATTAAATTTTTGTTTAAAGGGATCCTAATATTTTACCAGATGGTCGACACGTGACTGATAATGTAAATCCAGAAGATCCAGATGAAATAACTGGAGGTGAGTTAGAAGATTCACTGAATCATAAACAAGGGCGTAAAAATCCATTCATTGGATGGCCTGAATTTCGAAATAGTACAAAGGCCTACATCGTTTTTCGTTCAGCTCCGGCAAACCTTCTCGTTAGCACAAGACCACGTCACCGTCAATGCTTGTTTTGGCGTCGTTGGTATCCGGCGTTACTACAACAAGGTGATTTAGTTATTAAAGTATTCTATTTATCTCTATAGTACTATTTAATTGTTCTTACAATATTCGAGTCTTAAAATATCAGAATTACATATAATTTAGTTGGAAATTATGCTGAAGACATATTAATATAGTATAACAAGGATGTAAATAAATTTAACTGACTGAACATTGTAAATATAGAGCTTGTGTGAAAGAACACTCTACAACATTGATTGTGATAAGAGTTAAAACGGTCAGAAACAAGTGATTACATAATGAGTCAACATTGATATGTATAAAATGAGTAGAGCTCAGTTAATAAAATAAGATCACTTACTTACTTATTCATGATACTACCAATGGAGCATAGAAATCTGGAAGATAGTTGAAATAAAACTCAATGATGCAATAAATGCAAGAAAGAGTTAAAGAAAGAAGTTTAAGATTCAACGACGGAATATTTGTCACCAAGGCAAGGAATGATTGATAACCGTCTCCTTATGAACACATAAATCAGGTTTTTGATGTCTGATAGTAACGGCTTCAGCAAAACTTCAGAAGACTGTAATTTGATTGTTTATTAACTGCCATGAAAGACTGCAATTTATCGACCTGATATTCTATATTCAAGAGATGTTTGTTGATTGCACTGTTTAGAGTCTTTCTTTTGTTTTGGGGCTTTTTGGGATATGCTCAAAAAATTAAAATATGCTCTACTTTCTGTTTGGTCAATGTAGCTTCTTTGGCAGGTACATGTAAATTTATAAACACAGTTGGCGGTAATATGAAAGGGGTGCTTGTCGACCTTTGACTGGGTTATTGTTGTTTTATACAGAATTAATAGTTCGGCTGCGGGATAAGTTCTGGTTAGTGCAGTATTCAGTTTCCTGCTGATTGTGTTTACGACATTATCACTTTTGAAGTTGAGATTCACAGATATGGGTTTTTATTGACCATAACCACTTCTGTCCTATTTTCTTTAGGTTTTTATATTCATCATCACGTTTATGTGGGTAGCAGTTGTTTCTTAGACATTTTTCAACGTTGATCAATTCTTCCAGTTTGTCGGTGGTACATATCCTTTTTACCCCCATAAGATAGTGTTTTGACCAGTGTCTTCTTGTAACTGACTGAACAAAAACAATTGAAATCCAGATACTTTTTTGACCAACCAACCTTTGAACTGTCTCGTCTCCTCTACGTTTTATGGCAATAACAAGAAAGTGGAACATGTCATTCTATTTGTGTTCCATCCAGTGCTTCCAGTTTTTCCATGTTGGTGTATCTTCAATTAACTCATGATCTCAACTATAGAAATTGCTATAATATGCACAAATCCCCTCTCTTATTATCTACATATGATAATCAATTCAATCTATCAATCTTGATTTTGATTGGATGTTGTTGACCTTTGACTTGTCATGGCTTGGATATTGATTTGTTCAGGTTCAAATTACTCACAGAATATTTTGAGTTTAAAATTGTTTTCAATAACTTTATCATCAGGTTCTGTATCACTAAGTCCATAATTATTGTGCAAACTACGAAATTTAACAAACTGCATTTGACTATTTATACAAACCATTGTAGCGAATGAATAAACATTTACCTGACGTGATATTAATACATCATATTCTAAACACCAAACATTCGAAACTGTAGCACATAGTATTTTATGATAATAACAACATCAACTGAGTGATATAACATTGTATATCATCTACTTGGATTCCCATGCGGTCAAACCACACTACTAAATTGTTCATTTCATATATTAAAGATTCTAGACGTTATTCAGTTTCCATGAGAACAAGTAAGATGGTAAATTACTCAGTTTTTGTGTGAATACCTCTACAGTACTATGAATGGCTAGGATTAACGTAGCTCATCTGATTGTTTAATTTCGCTAGTAGAAGCTAATGATAACCTATACATTGTTTATCAATATAATATCCATTCACATTATTATATTTTTTTCTGTCATTAATTTTCAGTTGAGCGCAATCGCCAGCATTGTTTAGGTGTGTAAAATTCAATACACTGGTGAATTACTAACTACAGGTATCATCTAATATCAACAGAGATGAAAATGAATAACAGTTAACAAGTGTTTCGTAAGAATATTAAATATAATAATTGATTAGTATATCATAAATTGAGTGTGTTTTTTGTACTGCTACTGCTCAGGAAAATGATTAAACCTTGCTAAACAAATATTACTTACTTAATTACGCGTGTTACTCCTCGTAGAGGAGCATAGGCTGCCTACCAGCACTCTTCATCAAACCCTGCCATGGGCTATCTTTTCCAGTTGTTACTCATCCTTTTCATATCTGCTTCTATTTCCCGACGTAATGTGTTCTTTGGCCTTCCTCTTTTTCGCTTCCCTTCAGGATTCTAAGATAGGGCTTGTCTTGTGGTGCAGTTTGGTGATTTCGGTAATGCATGTCATATCCACCAACTCCATCGTCTTTTCCTAATTTGGTTTGTCCTCTCCCACATAAGGCTGTTGCTGATTGTATCCGGCCAAAGGATGTTTAGTATCTTGCATAGACAACTATTTATAAATATTGTATTCAATCTGAAGCTTATTATGTTTAGTTGATAATTGTCCACTATCTTAATTATACGAGTAGGATCATTTCAAAATTGTATGAACTAGACTCTGTGCTTAAGGTTAAATAAATAAGAAAGTTATTATTAAAAGAAATTAGCGTCCTAAGTATTAAAAGGAATACATATCAGTTTTAGATATGTTTTGCAAGTAGTTCCCTAAATCCTTCCAAAGCCCCTCTTGGGTTACTGCCGCTTCCAAGCCCGGATAAAAAAGTAGGGTTGGGCATAGGGTTAGCGACCCCATCCCGTAGAAATTTAACTCGCTAAAAACACACTAACCAGAAAAAAATCATTCAACAAGTATCAGAAGGGGCTTTGTGGAGATTGTAGTAATTTCAACAGCTAGACCATGTTCTAGATTCAATAAGTATTTCCCAGGTATTTCTGTTGATTTTATCCGTTACTGTGGTGTTTGTGATAATTGGTTAAATTAAGCAGTAAAATCAATGTATACCTTCAAACTTTAGTTTTCACGACATGAATAATTGTTTAAACATTTTTTACGGCAAACTACTGTATTAAACAATAGAATAATGATGCCATCAGAGATATGATTTCTTGATTAATAACAGCTGGAATTTAGTGTTTATATGGATGTTTATTGTTATGAAGGTTTCCATACAGCTTAATTTGAAATGTATCACTTTTAGTAGCTGAACATCCTTAAAATATGGTGATGGAAACAAATTAGTGGTTGACCTGATCCTCAGAGTAATGATAAAGTCGACGGATTACATGGAGTCTTAGATAAAGATAATTGTGATTTAATCACATATGACACTGGTTACCAAGTTAAAAATTAATAATACACTCTCTCAATATCTTATTTTGGAGAAGCAATCTATATGGCATCCAATGAAAAGGACGGTTACTAAACGGAGGAATGGGACGGCTAGCGATTATACAGGGGGAACATCAATAAAGATAACCATCAAAAATGTGCATATTGCTGGGGGTGAACATCAAAAGACAATGTAGTAGTAAATAAATCCCCAAAATAAATAGCTCTGTAAGTCTTTGATATTGGATGCTGATCACATTAGTTTTAATGGACTCACCTATCTGAAGGCGCTCGGTTATGCATCCGCACCAGATCACGAGTGGGAACGTCGTGATCAACATCCCCTGCAATATCTAGCCAGTTTAGATCAGTCGATCCTATATATATCGATGACCTATCAAATATATCTTCGAACCCCGTCGCTTCTGACTTTTGATTTCACTTGATGGGTACGGTGCTACTAGTCAAAGCGTTGTCAAACTACAAATACCTGTAACATCTTCAACAGAATCAAATTTTTAGTGACATAAAATCAGATACCTTTGTTCTTTATCCCTTTGCCTTTGAGATCAATCAGGAATTCAGTTCACTAAACATCTAATAAACATCCCTTATTACTTCCCTACGCCAGTCAACCCTCATGGAGGAGCATAGGCCATCGACCAGAATTCTCCATATAAATACCTGTGCTTTTTTGATGACGGTTGTAGTAGTTGTTGAAGTTTCAGCTTTGTACAGTAGAGCTATCTCGACGTTCGTATTGAAGATTATGACTTTGATATTGGTTGACAGTTGTTGTAAGTTCTATATGCCGTTCAACTAGAGGGATACTGCCCTCACTTTGCCAATCCTCACCTTTACGTCTTCATCAAATCCTTTTCGTTCATCTATGATGAAAGATTCCAAATCATCTTCATCAAGTGTGATTGGTTTGTTAGGTGTTCTCTGTGTTGTATTTGAGGATGTCAGTTTTTCTCTTGTGTACGCTGAGGACCACTGAAGCAGAGGCTTCTGCTACACTAATTATCTTTGTCTGCAGTTGTTGGTGTCTATGGGATAGAAGGGTCAGTTCATCTGCGAATTCATTCCGAGCTGTTCATTGTATTCCGTGCATCCCATCACGTGTGAGCGTCTTCATAATCTAGTTAACCAACATACGAGAGGGAGACGGAGAGAGAGAGCAGCCCTATATGACACCAGTTGTCAGTTGGAATGCGTCTGTCACCTGCCATCCATGTACGACTTTGTAGTGTAGTCCGTTGTAAGAAATCCGTATGATGTCGATGATCTCCTCAGTTACTCACTCCATAGTGTCAAAGTCGATTCCATAAGGTTCTCCTACCCACGCCGTCGTTTGATTTCTCATAGCCAAGGAAAGTGATTTATAGTGAGACGTTCCATATAATTGATTGCCCAACAATGATCTATAGTTTCGCGATTTGGCGTGTGCTCGCCTGGTCCTCACAGAATCCAACTTGTTGAACTCGGAGTCGAGCGTCTACTGAATTTTCCATTCGGTTCAGCAACACTGTTGAGAACTTATCCTGATACCGATAGTAGTGTGATTCCTCTGTAGTTTTCACATTAGCTGATATCTCCAGTTAGTTGGCACTTGCTCTTTCTCCCAAATGTTCCTGAATGGAGAGCAGAGCATGTTTGCAGTTACTTCTATGTGTGACTTCAGTACTTCAAGTGGCATATTTTCAGTTCGTGCTGCTTTCCCACTATTGATTTGTCTGATGACGGGCCATTCTGGTCTCTTCGTTCGTTTATGTAGTGACAACTATAGGAGGGTCTGTGTGTGATGCTTCGATGTCCGTTGGGTTAAGTGGGGCGGGTCTACTCAAGAATTCCTCGAAGTATTCTACCCATCTGTTCTTGAATCTCTGTGATAGTCTTATCCCTTTTATCCTTGACCGGTCGCTCTGGTTTACTATATTTCCCTGTCAGTTTCTTCGTCTTGTCATCTAGTTGTTTCGTATTTCCTTCTGTTGTGACTTTTTCCCTCGTCGTTGCTAGGTCTTCCATATATCTTTGTTTGTCAGCTCCAATGTTCCTCTTCACTTACTTGTTGCTTCTGTGTATTCAGTTTGTGCCTTGACTTTCTCTGTTGTCAGTTTCCGTCTCCTTGTTCTTCCTTTCTTGAATCTTGATGAGGGTTTTGATGGAGATGTATTCCTTATGGTGATGCTTGTTGCGACCTAGCATTTCCTGAAACGTTGATGTTAACGCCTCTGTGATCCCTTTCCAATTGTCCTCCATAGTATTTTCTTCTTCTTTGAGTAAATCTTGTACGGCTTGAAACCTGTTGTTGAGAGTTATCTTGAATTGGTTGAGTTTGTCAGTATATCGAAGGAAGTCTGTATTGAACTTTTAGAGTACTATTTCTCCAGTTGTCCAGTGTTTGTCTAGCATCAGTTTTCGTCTTGGCAACCACCAGGTAGATGGTGATCTGAAGCTATGTCAGTTCCTCTCCAGGTTCTCACGTTCTCCATTGACCTTGTGAATATTTTAATGATGCAAATATGATCGAGTTGGTTTTGTGTGGTATAATCCAGTGAGACACACGCAACTTTGTGTATGTGTTTGTGGAGAAATATAGTAGTACCACCTATGATCATTTTTTTGAATGCATACTAATTTGCAAATCTGTCACCATTCTCGTTCGTTTCTCCCAATCAGTCCGTGTCGTTCCACGATATCTGGATACTCGGTGTTGTCCACTCCGAATTTAACGTTTAGGTCTCCCATCATGTCCTTCCCTGCACACATGGCTACGATTGATTGTAGCCTCTCATAGAACTGATCTTTATCATCATCATTGCTATCATTGGTTGGTGCATAACATTGGATAACATTGTGACTCCCTCCTTACCTCCTTTTGAAAGATGCGTTGATTATTCCGGGTTGATAAGGTTTTCATCCTGTGAGTGCTCCATATGCTTCTTTGTACATTATCAGAGCAAGTTTCTGAGTGTGTAAAGCATTTCCTTCTTCGTAACCAGAGTGCAGCAGCAGCTCTCCTGAATCTAACCTTTACTGTGCAGATTTGGTTTTCATTGATTCCGTGAACATTCATGTTGTATCTCCGCATTTCCTTAATTATTAGATCAGTCCTTCCAGTCTCGCACATTGTCCGAACATTTCAATTATCTATGTTAACCGTTGCTGTTGTTGCTAGAATGGACATTGACCTCGTGGCTTTCGAAGAATCTTGACTTTCACCATGAGGTGTCATAATTCTTCTGAATGAAGATCCTTCAACTCCTAATGAAGAATTTAAATAGTTTAATTTGTTCCTGTCGTTCGGCGCTTTCGGCAAGGTTGTTTTCCGCGTAATAGTATTGCTGACTCTGTGCCAGACCCTCCTCTTTTTCTCGAACTTAGAACCGGTGTATCACTAGAAGGGCTGCAGTTGAAGTTGCAGATTTTGAAAGTTACTAAATATTGATTTTCCTATATTTTGGTGAACGAAGTGTCAATTCATCACCTTATTCATGTCATATTTAATCATGTTTTCTTCAATAAATGATAGTAGCTGTGCTCATTAAAGACTAAAATTTTTGTTGTTATTAGGTTTTTATTTCTTGACCCTTTCATTGGCTTTCTCAGACCGCCTCAGAATTGTCGTTAGATTGTTGTATTATGGTCATTTTTGGACGAGATATTGCATCTGTTGCCTGGTTTTCCTGACTTTTGACATGTCGGATATCACAGGTGAACTGTGATGTACATTCCATGTGTCGGACCTATATAGGAGAATATTTGTCGGCTCTAGCTTTCAGTGCGTTGATT